ATAATTGTATGAAAACACTCCGCCCTTCGGGCGTCGTGTTTCCATACAATTTCTCGTTTTCCCAATTTCTACTCGTGTTGATATAACTGTATATCAACACGGAAAATGTTTTATATTTGTTAAATATATATATATATATATATATATAGAGAGAGAGAGAGTTCACTGGTGCAAAGTTGTCCTCCATTTTGTTTATGTCACGGACGGTTTTCGACGTTATGCGCATGCGCGAGTACAAACTCTGTCGAAGTAATTATTTTTCATTTTGAAAGGACGTATTTTGCTGTTTTACAGCAATTTTTTGTTTTAAATTTCTTTAAAAAGTTTACAAAAGTACAACACGGTTTTTTTCTCGATTTTAACTGGAAATAAGCTTGCAGTTTCACGAATTAGTGGCTGTTCAACCGTGAAACAAAGTTTGTACAATAATTGTTTTGATGTTGATGTCTTTGATAATTTAATCGTTGCTGTGCCGATTTGGGTAAGTGTAAGCTTTTGAGTAGTAAAATTCCATGCCATACTTGCTTTGTGCTGTCGGTTTTATTCATATCTGCGAAATTTTTAAGCCATTCTTTAATAACTCGATAATGACTTTAATGCAAGCTGGTATGCATGAAATTGCAGTGAATGTTGTCATTCATTGATATAAAGCTAGCGCATCAGTTGTGTTTTTATGTTTGTTTATAATGGTCTTAATACTTTATGTCGAGTTTTTATACTTCATCTGTTAACAAAGGCGAGGGGTTGCTGCATGCATGTATTTTCTAGTAGAATTTCTGTTTCTGCTGCTTGAAATTCATTTTTTTTACTTCAACAGGATCTGGAACACGGGGTTTCAACTGCGATATCGTTTGAGGAATTTTTGAACGCAAACGCCTATTCATCAGTAATTGCGCTGGACTTCCCACATCATCGATAGGAGTGTTTCGATATTCCAATAAACTTAAATAAGGATGTCGTTGATCTTTCTTGGATTAAACTAAAAGATCTTTGACAGTTTGTAGATTCCTTTCTGCTAAACTATTGGCTTGAGAGAACTAACTGTCGTATACTTGAATTTCCAGTTTTCTGCCACTGCTTGAAATTCTCTAGATGAGTATTGTGGCCCATTATCACTTACGACTTCTGCAGGAATCCCATGTCGGGAGAATATCGACTTGGTGTACGTGATAACCGTTGAACTCTTTGTGTCTGGTAACTTAACAACTTCAAAGTACCTGGAAAGATAGTCAACAATAAGTAGATAGTCCGAGTTGTCCAAACTAAATAAATCTGTTGCCACCACCTCCCAAGGTATGGTTGGTACTTTGAAAGGTATCATAGGCTCTTTGGTATTCTCCTTTCTGTGCTCAAGACATACGGTGCACTTCGATACCATTTCAGCTATCTGCTTGCCCATCAAAGGCCAATAAAGAGCATCCCGAGCTCTTCACTCTTCACGAGTTCTGTAGTTCCTAACACAGCAAGATTGTTTCCAGAGGAACTGATTAATTTACGAGTTTTCTCTGGTCGATTGGATTTCTTCGAGTTTTCCTTGTACCGCTGACCCGTCGTTGATTACTTTGATGTGCATTTCCGTTCGTTCTGCAGCTCTAACCAAATCAAGTGCTTTGTCAAGGGTTAGGTCTGGCTCTCGAAGAAGTCTCTCACGAATTTTCTGATTTTTCATCCCCAGGACTATTCCTTGATGAGAGTGTCTCTTAATGTCCCAATTTCACAGGTGTCACTAAGCCTCTTTAATGTTGTGACATACTGATCAATGGTATCACTGGTTTTTTGTGCTCTGGTGAATAATATGTATCTTTCATAGGTTACGTTTTTTCTTAGCTCGCAACGTACATCGAATTTTTGAAGAACTTTTGCTATCTTCTTATCATCTCCAACTGTAGCCCACACGAACGCGTCGTAGACATCCAATGCTTCGTTTCCTATGACGGTTAGCAATGTTGCGACTCGAGTTGCATCCTCTTTTTCGCTGATGCCAGTTGCTATTTCGTAGTTGAGATACCTCTGCTTGAATTTCTTCTAGTTTGCTGATACATTTCCACTGTTTAGATTCGAAGTTTGAGGCGGTATTAGACCAAAATGCATCGCCATTGTTTACTTTCGTTGCTGAAACTTCGGTCTAAATTTTCTCCGAGAATACTGCTTCTTTCGTGAAAATGTTTTGATATTTAATTAGTCTGATGTTTAGACTAATATCCACACCTGACACCGTCACCAGGTTATATTTCAATTTTAGAAGCCAAGATTGATTGCGATTGAAAAGTTTATTTTATTAAATTACATGTGAAAAACAATGTCAGTTTTTTTTATATAAACATATTTAATAACTTTAATATTTACCCAAGAGCGTGGACGCTCATCGAGGGGCTCAAACTACATTTAACAAATAATTAAATAATATACACAACAGGAGAAGACGAACATTACAAAGAAAGAGGAAAAAAACAACAACAAAAGTGATAAAAGCTGGTTCAATTGAAGGTTCAAAGTAATAAATTAATTCTTAGAAAAACGATTAGTTTGCTTAATATATTTTTGAACATTCATAAATATACATCTATTACTTTCTATACTCAAATCAGTTGAACCAGACAAAAATATTTTAGATTTTTGAGAATCGGACAAGAGATACCAGCTTTCACCATAAATTTGAGCAGCTACCGAGAGTAAGGATAATCTAAGAGCAGCATAACGAGGACAATATAA